TTAAAGGGCCAGTCTAGACCCTTCTCTCCTTCCCTTCTCCCGCTCGAAGCAGCACAGCCTGGCGCTTATGTGTGCTTTGGGGGGAGAGCTCCTCCCTAGCTCTCTTTGTTCTCTTTAGGCCCCCCTCCCCTTATATCAGGGACCCCATTTTTGTGCACTACCTACCCAAGCCCAGAGCAAGCCCTCTGCCTGGGCTGGGGGTCACAGCACATGGCTGTTGGAGCCGAGTGCTGGAGAAGGCACGTGGATCCCTGGGCAGATGCTCTTTCCTCCCTCATTTCCTGGAGGCCCTGGGGCCGGGTGTTTTCATTCCCCGCCAGCGGTGGGGGTGGATCGGTTGGGGGTTGAGGCTCCTAGGAGATGCCCCAGCCCCCCATTCCCAGCCTCCTTTCCCAGGGACCCAGGCTGCGATGTGTGTGTGTGTGTGGGGGGGGGGGGTGTAGATTTCAAATCTTTCTCCCTGTGCGGGAGGTGACTTGCCAAAGAAACCTGCCTCTGCATTTCCTGGCCATTTTTCTATTCCTCAGCAACGGAGCTCAGGGCAGCAGAGGGGAAACTGGCTTCTCCCGATTTCTCTCTATCTTCTGCAGAAATGCTGTAACTGCACTCCAGGGGCTATGTGAATGCCGGATGCTTGGAAAGTTCCTCTCCCATCTGCCTTCCATCCTTTCTGCTGCAAAGATCTGTGGTCCTCCGAGGGGCTCTCCAGGAGTCAACCCCCTGCCCGATCTGTGAAACTCATTCTCCACCGCCCTCAGGGCCCCCTGCTCTGGCTCAGGAGCGAGAGGGAGATGCTGGGTGGGTGCCTGGGGAAGGTGGCCACGCTAAAAATAGGGGCTCCCAACGGCACCCCCAGCCCCTTATTTATCGCCTTCCAAACCCCTCTCTCAAAGAAGCATAAATACGCATTCCTAATCCTGAAGGCCAGCCCCGAGCTCATAAATTTGACTGGGGAGATGGGCACGGGGGAGGGGCGCGGTGCGCGGGAACGGGGAGCCCACTGCGACCCTGGGGAAGCGGACCGTCTCGGGCAGGAGGCGCCGCCGTCCCGGCCAGCGCCCGGGGCTCCGAGGGGAGGGATGGTGTCTCCCTCAGTAGTCACCCTGGGGGGAGGCTTTTCTCACTACGCCCCCCCCCAACAAATAAAACCCTTGGCGCCGTCTTCTCCATCAGTGCTCATCCTCCCTCCCTCTCTTGGCGATTGCCTCCTAGTCCTGTCCTGCTCCTCTCTCGCCTCTCTACTGAGCTTGTCTCTACGTCTCTGCTCCTCTCATCCTCGCCCTTTCATTGTCTGAAGAGCACATTTTCCGTCTTATTCAATCTGGGCAGTGCTGCTTGAAAAGTCCCTCTCAGTCCCCGCTTCAGCCATTTGCCGCCTTCAGTGCCCTTCCTTTCCAACCTCCTTCCTCCCCTCCCCTCCCCTCCCTTTTCCCTCCCTCAGTCTGTGCTCCTCAGTCTTCCTTTTTTTTTTTTTTTAAATCACCCCTTTGGCCTCCTCAGTTTCCCCTCAGCGCTTCAGCGCAGTATCCTCTCCCCCCACTCCCCCCCCTCAGACTCCTCCGCCCGCGTCTTCCCCCTCCGACCCCCAAGTTCCCCTCCCGCCGGGTGAAAGGGAAGGGGGAGGGGGCTTGAGGCTCAGGTAGAGGGAGCGCGGGGCCTGGAGGGAGGGAGAGAAAGGAGAAAAGGGGGAGCGCGGGCGGAAGCGGGGGCGAGGGGAGGGGCATCTCACTCCCCGGCGGCGCCCCCCTTCCCCGCAGTCACTGAGCCGTAAATCAGGGCCGAGGCAGTTTGGCCAATGGTAGAGCGACTCGTAAATCGGCCTGTCAAGCTCAGCCAATGAGAGGTGGCGTTAAATCAAGTCCTGTCAGCGCTCGGCCAATGAAAGGCCCTGGGTTGACCATAAATCTGCCTGAAGGAGACAGCGAAGGAGAGAGAGTGTGCGGGCGAGCGAGAGCGGCGGGGGCGGGGGCGGGGGCGGGGGAGCTGAGTGCGGGGAAGGCGGGGAGCGGGAGGGGGGAGAGAGGAGCCTATGCGCAAGAAGGCGATAACACAGGTACTAAGAGGCGAAGACAGCCGCAGGACAGACGGACAGATGGAGAGAGACAAAGAGAAGCCTTGAGAGACAGCGTCAGAAAGTCCGGGACTGAGCGCGGGCTCGGGCGGGAGACGGACACTGACGCACACTCAGGAGGCCCCCCAGTGCACATACTCCCCCAGACACGCGTGGGCTCCGCATCGTGAGGGACTTGAGGCTGGACTCGCGCACAGTGTGCACCCGCGGGAGAGAGAAAGCCTGAGAGGGCATCTTCTGCCTCTTCCCCCTCAGCCCTAATGGAGATTAGGAGGGGTGGATGTGTGAACTGTGGAGGGTAGGGACGAGGGGCTTGCTTCTTGCTAAGATCTGTCCTCTCGGTCTCAGGCTCCAGGGTGCCTTTCTGTGTCCCTTTGAGTCATTTTCCAGCGACTGATAATTGGGAAGTCCCTCCTGAGGTCTAACCTCAATCCCTATTGCTGTTCATTTCTACTAACACTTTTAAATTGTTTTCATGGAATATGAAAACGGAACACTTTACAAACCTTCAGAGAACTGTCAACTTTCAGAATCTTAGAAGGTCTGAACAGGAAGGACATTTAGGGATCAATTGGTCACTTGATTTTAGTTTTATTGTTTTGTTGTTTTTATTTTTTAAATATATTTTATTGATTTTTTTACAGAGAGGAAGGGAGAGGGATAGAGAGTTAGAAACATCGATGAGAGAGAAACATGGATCAGCTGCCTCCTGCACTCCTCCCACTGGGGATGTGCCCGCAACCAAGGTACATGCCCTTGACCGGAATCGAACCTGGGACCCTTCAGTCCTTCAGTCCGCAGGCTGACGCTCTATCCACTGAGCCAAACCAGCTAGGACTGTTGTTTTTTAATCCTCACCTGAGGATATTTTTCCATTGATATTTTAGAGAGAGTGGAAGGGAGGGGGAGAGACAGAGAGAAACATTGATGTGAAAGAGACACAGTGATTGGTTACCTCTCCCACACCCCCAACCAGGGCCAAGGATCCAGCCTGCAACTGAAGTGCATGCCCTTGACCTGAATGGAACCTGGGACCCTTCAGTCCGAGGGCTGACGTTCTATCCACTGAGCCAAACTGGCTAAGGTGATTCTAGTTTCAGAAAGGCTGCTGTTCGACACCTGGGCTGGTACTGACTGAGGTCAGACTCTCTGCCCTCAACTCATGGTCATACCACTTAATAGCCTTTTGACTTTGGACAAATTGCTTAACCCAAATTGTCTATTTTTCATTTGTAAAAAAGATATTATAATAGATACCTTATGGTCAATTTTGTGGGGATTACACAAAATACATTTACAGGATTTAGGACAGTCCCGGGGCACATAAAAGAGGGCACTCCTCCCTCATTTTTGTACAAATAATAAAGCCTGAGGCCCAGAATAGTCAAGGGTCCTGCCCGGGTTCACAGAGCTAATTATCAGAGAACCTGGACTGGAACCTGGTCTCTACGCTCCTGGGCACGTGTTGTTTTTGGTCCTTGTTATTGTTCACTCCGCCTGCCTGGGCCCCTGCCTCAGTAGCTTGAACGCCTGAACTTGATTCCGTTCAGGCTGCTGTGATTTTTGTGGAAGAGGATACTTCAGAAGCACATGTTCCAGATCAGGAGGCAGCATTCCTGGGCCCTTGGAGTGTTAAATGTGAGAGTCTAGCTCTGTCCACCCGACTCTCTGAGTCTCTCTGGACTTGACTTTGTTCTCTCAGTCCATGGACTGGGGGGCAGGGGGGGAACAGCACGCAGCCAGAGCAGTGTTGCTGTCAGCATGACTCACCTTCCATCCCCAGTGCCCTGATCGCCACCCTAACCAAGCACTGTGCACAGTAAACATCTCATGAATAATACATGTATAATTAATTCCTTACTTTCCTCCCTAAGTTTAAGGAAGAGCGAGGGATGCAGATACCTGGGTCTCCACCCCTGCGGGCTGAGAGGGGAGCGGGTATCTCTGGACTCCCCGTCCCTCTGACACCGTGTGTCCTCCACAGGGAAGCCAGAAAGAAAACACAGAGAACCAGCGTCACCTGGTGGTGACAGGTGCTTTAAATTCGAGAGTGAGCCTGCAGAAGGTTGACAGGACGCTGGGCAGTCTGGAGGAAGGGAATGGTAGGATTTCCCCTCAGCCTGGCCCCTGAGCCTTCTTAACTAGAGTCTCTGTTCTGCTTTCATAACCCAGGCAGACAAGAGCAAGTCTGGGGGGAGTGCGGGGTCAGGTGAATTAGCTCCAACCAGTGTGGCCCTGCTAGGGCAACTAGAACTGTCTGTCATTGCTTCTGCTAAGCCAGTGGTTCTCAACCTGGGCTGCACATTAGAATCACCTGGGGATCTTTTTAAAATCCTGATTTCTGGGCCTCATCCTCCGGAAATTCTGTTTCGTTGTTACTAATGTTGTGGCCCCACCCCATAACAAAGAAACAGAATTTCCGGAGGATGAGGCCCAGAAACCAGGATTTTAAAAAGATCCCCAGGTGATTCTAATGTGCAGCCCAGGTTGAGAACCACTGTGCTAAGCTCAGTTTTATTTCCACAGAGCGAGAGTCCTCTCCCAGGACCATTCTCTTTGGATAAGTCAAGAGTCAGGGGGCTAGCCTCACTTGAAGTGGTTATCAATGCTGAATTTAAAAAAATATTTTTTTAAACTGAAAAACATCTGTTTGCAGGGATGAGGGGGATCCTGGCAGCAGTAGTTAGGAATAGTAGTAGGTAGGAGCCATTTCTGAGAAGTTAAAAAAAGGCAGGCTAATCCTCTTAAACCAAACTCACATGTTTTTTTAACCTGGAAACTCCTCAGCTGAAGGCAATGTCCTGACCTAGGCCCACTGCTTCCTGCTCCTGCTCTGACCTGCCCCCCCCCCCCAACCCTCCACTATTAAGTTCCAGCTGCAAACCAACACTGGCTTATTTCCTTCTTCTCCAAAGACCACACCTGAACATTAAAAGAATGGAATTCATTTATTAATAATTAATAATGCACCTTGGGCAGCCTGGGGCTGCAACACTGAGCAAGGGATAGAGATGTCTGGTTTGGGGGTCAGGGGGAGGTTGTCCGTGAAAATGCCCACAGGTTTTACTCTCATCTACTCCATACCAGCTGGCCACTCTAGTTCTGGATGAAACAGTCTCAGATTCTGGTGCCGAACACAGTTCTAAGGGAGCTTACGGAAACTCCGGAGCCTGCGGAAACTCTGGGGTCCTCGTTGTAGGAGGGAGACATACGCTTGGCGGAACTGGCGGTTCATGGCTGCATAGAGCACAGGGTTAATGCAAGCATTGAGCCAGGTGAAGTTGGCAGCAAGCATGTGGACAACCCGGGGAGCCCGGACCTTGGCATCCAGGATGTTGAGCAGCAAGAAAGGGATGTAGCTCACGGTAAAGCAGATGAACACAGCAAAACACATCCGAGTCACCTTCCCAGACTCTGATGGAGAGTCCTGAGCTTTTTGGGCTCCTTTAGTTGGCCTGGTCTTGGCAGGTGCCTCCGGAGGGCTTTTCCCTGCCATCTGCTGAGCGACCTCGCTGCTGCTCTGGTCCCCCACTTCTGACGAGTCCCCTTCCAAGGTCTGGGTGGTGACAGCACTGGCTGGCTCAGATGAAATCCCCTCACTGGGCCTTCTTGATGCCACCCCACTGTCCAGCTCCTGGAAATGACCCGGCACGGCTTCATCTGTCCCAGCCACATTGTGGGAGCGGACATCTGTCTGGTGCAGCTTGTACTGAACCAGCGCCTGTGCTGCTCGCTTCACCTGGCGGTGGATGAGGCAATAGAAGACGCCGACACTGCTGAGCCCAAGCACAAAGTAGATGCCCAAGAGGATGGTGGTGTAGGGTCGGCCTCGGATGCGGTCAAAGCTGCAGGTGCAGACTACGGGCACCAAGATATAGACATTCCAGAGCGGGGCAAAGCTGGCCACACCTATCACCCAGGTGCCCACCAGAGCCAGCACTATCCCCTTGGCACTGAACACTTGGGGAAAGAGGTTAGGGTGGGCAATGAGGAGGTAGCGTCCCAGGGCGATGAGGCAGAGGGTGAGGATGGAGACAGAGTTGGACGTAAAGAGGAGGAACCCAAACACCCTGCAGAAAGTGGCGCCAGTTCTCCAGTGCAGGTGGAGGTAGGTGTCCACGGAGAAGGGCTGGAGAAGGGTGCAGTAGAGCAGATCAGCTACCGTGAGGTTGGCGATGAGCAGGTTGAAGTGGGTACGGAGCTTGGGCTGGATGGCCAAGGCCAGCAGGGTGAGCACGTTGCCCACGGTGCCCGTCACAGCCACCACCACCCCCCAGATAACTGCCACATAACGATAGCCCACCACAGACTCGTGGTAGCAGGAAAAGTTGGCATCAGAGGTGTTCCACATAATGGAGGCTGAAGGGAGAGAGTAGAAGAGGAAGAGGGAGTCAGAGCTTGACTTTGAATTTGGATCTCTTGAACTACTCTGCTCCCCTGGACACCTGAACTGCTCTGGGAGCTCACCCGCCTCCCAAGCCATTCCCGGACCGCTTCATCTCAAGATTCCCAACCCTCTTAGTCCTTTCCCATTCTCAATGATTCTCCCAAATTCTTATCTAAATACCTTAGTCTCTGTACACTTCAAACTCCAGGCCTTATTCAATATCTATCCACGTTCTCGTAGTAACCCCAGTGCCCTCCAACATTTTTAATTCCTCCCCTGTCCTCTAAGACCACCCAGGAGTCCCCTGTCTGTACCCAGGATACTGTCATACTCCTCTCTGCTGTGCTTTGCTACACACACATGCTAGCCTCAGTGTTTTGTTTTGTGTGTGTGTGTGTTTCTGTTTTTACCACCTCTGAGATGCAGAGACAGAGAAAGAAAAGTACACCCACACCACAAAATTACTCACCTGAGTCTCCCAGCCTTCAATTCTCTCTTCAATGGGAGAAGAAATCAAACTCACTCAAAGGGCAGTCCCTTCTAATGGGCAGTCAGGCTTCACACAGGAGGAACCCTGCTCAGGTCTCTTTATACTAGGCTGAAAGAATAAGAAACTCCTCACTTACCCAACGTGAGCCACTTCCTTCCTCGTCGCTGGTTCTACTTGTTCTGCTTTGGCTAGTGAAATCTGGGCTTCTCTGTTGAAATTCCCCTGCTACTTACCCCAATGCCATATCAATTCCTTCCTTTCTCTTTTCGGAGGCCCACGCTATGTTTCCTTCCTCTCTTTGCATAGCAGCACACCCGTAAGGTCATTGCCAAGAATTGTTGAGGCATGGAGACAGAGTACCAGGACATCTGGGTCACTTCTCACGGGGCCAACAGACAAGACCAAGTTCCAGGAGCAATTCTGGGTACCCCAGAGGCCTTGACTTTGTTTTGGTGGAATACTACCTTCCCTCTCTCCAGGACTTGGTGATGGTTCAAGTCAGAATCCCATGTGATATCCTAACACATGTAGGACATTTGAGACAAAGGGCACAGGGTGCATAGAGTCATAGAGGCTTTAGTGGAGGTGAACAAAAAGTGTGAGGTAAGAAGCAACAGAGAAGATCCTGGAGAGGTGAGCAAGGCTGAGATTAAGAAAGGCCTTGTGCATCCTGCTGAGGAGCTGGGCGTTGTTTTTTTTTCTTTTGGTTGTTGTTGTTTTTTAAATATATTTTATTGATTTTTCACAGAGAGGAAGGGAGAGAGAAAGAGAGTCAGAAACATCGATGAGAGAGAAACATCGATCAGCTGCCTCCTGCACATCCCCCACCGGGGATATGCCCGCAACCCAGGCACATGCCCTTGACCGGAATCGAACCCGGGACCCTTCAGTCCGCAGGCCGACGCTCTATCCACTGAGCCAAACCGGTTTCAGCTATAATGGACAAATGAGTTCTAATTTACAACAGCTAGTCTTTCTAGATGCCAGTGTATGACAAAAGTAGAGTTAGTTAACTAATGCATTTAGTACATTTGTGCTGAAATTTCTAGGGAAGATTGTCTTCTGAATAGCTGAGCACTGTAGCCCACATGGCAGGTGGAGGAGGGCAGGAAGGGAAAGATGGGCTTAGGCTACAATGTTCATCTTTCAAAGACACTTTCCGATTATAACTGTTAAATGTGTGCAGTTTATTCAAAACTGCTGTGCATATAGTGGACAAATTAAGTCCTTTTTTGAAACATCTAGTCCATCTAGATGTTTAGAAGTGCCCAACGTATGTTAAATGTAGAGGTAGTAAAATATCACTTTTGTAAATATCTTTTTACTAAAATTCATAGGAAATACTATCTTTTGGGAATGGAATTGTTAAACCACCTCTGTGAGCAATATACTATTGTCGATATTTGTTCAGTAGTTTGGAGGAGGTGGGAGGAAAAGAATTGCAAAAGGTAATATGCTAGTGTGTTCATATTTGGATATTTTCAGATAAAGCCATTTTTATATGTTATGTGCATTTTGTTTTGCTGTGTATATAGTGGACAAATAAGTCCTAAAATTGCAATAGCTAGTCTTTAGATGTTAAAGAGGTTGCCAGTATATGACAAAGTAGTAAAATTAACATATTTTGTCCACTTTGTGTTGAAATTCATAGGAAAGCTTGTCTTGTGTAAATGACTTTTGGATATGAATTTGTTGAACCACCTCTAAATATTACACACACCTGTACTTGTCCTCTGGCTTGGTGGTGAAGAGAAGGAAGTGAGGGAATGGTTCAGGCCAACGTGGTCATATTTAGTAGATTCCTCGGATTATAACCATTGTTATTATGTGCAGTTTTAACAGTGCTGTGCACATAGTGGGCAAGTAAGAACTATATGAAATATCTAGTCTTTCTAGACCTTTAGAAGTGCTTGATGTACTTAAAAGTAGAAGTAGCAGAATAATGCTTCTTGTAAATAGCTTTTAAAACCTGATAAAAAATATTGTCTTTAGAAATGGAATTGTTAAATCACCTCTTTGAACAGTGTACTCTATATACTTGTTCACTACTAGGTTGAGGGAGGTGGGAGGGAAGAAATTGCAAAAAGATGTTTTGCTAGTGTGTAATAGAAAATTTTAGCTTATCCTTTGCCGCTCTATATGTTACATGCATTTCATTTACCTCTACTGTATATATTGTGAATATACTGGACAAATAGATCCTAATTTTATAATATCTAGTCTCTAGATATTAAAGAGGTTGCCAATGTATGACAAAAGTAGAGTTAGTAAACGAACACATTTTGAACACTCTGTGTTAAAATTCATAGAAAGGCTGTCTTCTGCCCTAACCGATTTGGCTCAGTGGATAGAGCGTCGGCCTGCGGACTCAAGGGTCCCAGGTTCGATTCCCGTCAAGGGTATGTACCTTGGTTGCGGGCACATCCCCAGTAGGGAGTGTGCAGGAGGCAGCTGATCGATGTCTCGCTCTCATCGATATTTCTAACTCTCTATCCCTCTCCCTTCCTCTCTTTAAAAAAATCAATAAAATATATTTTTTAAAAAAGAAAGGCTGTCTTCTGAAAAGGACTTTGGAAATCAGATTGTGAAATCTACCTGTAAGTGACACATGTGCCTACTCAGCCCATTGAGTTGATGGTGGTCAGGAGGAAATGAAGGTTCCAGACTAGGATGTTCCCATAAGGAAGACACTTTCAGATATAGCCATTGTTACATGTGTGTAGTTTTTTCAACACTACTGTGCAGATAGTGGACAAACTTAAGTCCTTATTTGAAACATCTAGTCTTTCTAGATGTTTAGAAGTGCACAAAGTATGTTAAAAGTAGAGGTAGTAAAAGGACACATTTTGTATATATCCTTTTGTTAAAATTCATTTCAAATACTATGTTTTGGAAATGGGATGATCAAACCACCTCTCTGAGCAGTACACATTATTATATTGGTACTGGTTCAGGGAGGAAGGGGAAGAAAGTGCAAAGGGCTTTATACCAGCATGTTCATAGTTAGGCAAGATTAACCGTCTTCCCTGTGCCTGTGCACTGCGTTTTACTTAGCTGTGCATATATTGTATGTGAAGGACAAACTGTTCTAATTGACATCATCTAGCCTTTCTAGGTGTTACAGAGGTTGCCAGTGTATGACAGAAGTAGTTAGTAAACAAATACATGCTGTACAGCTTGTGTTAGATTCCTAAGAAGAACTGTTCTGAAAACATGAGAAGTAAAATTGTTAAAATCCTCTCTAAGCATTACAGATGCTTATTGTGCTGTCCACTGTGTTGATAGAGATGAAAAGGGGAAGGGTTTTAGGCCAGAAAGTTCCTTCCTATTCAGAAGACACTTTCAGATTATAGCCTCTACGTGCAGTTTAATCAAACAAATCCTTATTTGAGATGGCTAGTCTTTCTAGATGTTTGAAAGTGCACAACATACGTTAAAAGAGTTAAAGTAACACCCTTTAAGTATTTTTTCTGTTAATTTATAGGAATGGTGGTATTTGAGGAATGGAATTGTTAAACTTGATGTCTTGGAGAGTATTCTGACTGTTCACATGGGAAGGGGGAGGGAAGGAAGTACAGAAAAAAGGGTTCTGTGCCCACGAGTCTTTAGAGAAATTAAAATTATCTAACCATTGTTACATATGTGCATATTAGTTAATATTGCTGTGTATTCAAGGATAAAGCCCGAAGTATATAAAAAGTAGAGGTAGTAAAATAATCCCTTTATAAAAGCCCTCTTGTTAGTTTTTAGGAAGGACTGTCGTCTGGGAATGCCTTTGTTAAGCCGCCCCTTGGAGGCAGGTGTTCTGTATTTAGTCACTGGTGTGGTGGAGGAGGGAGAAGAGGAAGGGTGAAGGGAAGGCTCTTTGCTAATATCTCCATACCTAGGAGAAAGTTTTAGGTTATAACTATAGGTCTATATGCATTTCTGTAAAGTTCCTGTGTTTATTGTGGACAAGGTTCTTTTATTTTGCAACATTGGAGCTTTTTAGATGTCCTGAGGTGACAATGTCTGATAAAAAGTAGAGCTAGTGAATTAACCAATTTGTAAATATCTTTTTGTTATAATTGTTAGAAAAGAGGCATCTTGGACATGGAGTTGTTGAACCATCTCAGAAATGGACATCAGGACTTGTTCATACCAAGGGGTGTGTGTGGATGTGTTCATATTCACATTGTGGTGATAACCACTGATGTGCATGCATCTCTTTAGACTGCTATAGGAATATGTTGTTAAGTACTTCCGTCAAAACTTGCCACCTTGCTAATATTTTAAAGTATAAATAATAATCCTATTAGAAGCATTATACTTTGTGTACTCTTGCTTTGGGTCTCATTTTTAATGGAACATGAAGGGAATGCATTATTTTAATTGTAACTTTGTGAATATCTTTTATCTAAAGGTTTGTTGCTATTTTTGTCCTTTATGAAATTTTTATCACCAAGTAAGGCAGGATTATATTTTCTTCCAGATTGAGTTGATGTTGGGTATTCTTGGTTATCAAAATACTCATAGCTTTGGGACTTTGAAATGGTAAATATTCATGATGTGTGAGAAAGCATGATACATAACTGTACCATCTTAATACATAAAAATGAAAGCTTAGTTGTATAGATACACAGGACTTAGAAGGACACGTCAGACTAAACTGCTTGTGATTATGGATGGCTTAGTTCTTTGCTTGTGTTTTTCAGTTTCCTATATATGCACGTTAACTTTAAAAAAATAAATGTTAGCTGTAACCGGTTTGGCTCAGTGGATAGAGTGTCGGCCTGCGGACTGAAAGGTTCCAGGTTCAATCCCGGTCAATGGTATGTACCTTGGTTGCAGGCACATCCCCAGTAGGAGGTGTGCAGGAGGCAGTTGATTGATGTTTCTCTCTCATCGATGTTTCTAACTATCCCTCTCCCTTCCTCTCTGTAAAAAATCAATAAAATATATTTTAAAAAAATAAATAAATGTTATTTTAAAAGCCTAAAAAAAAAAAAAAAAAGAAGAAGTGAAAGTTTGCAGATCAGAAATGAGAGAGAGCGGTAGAGGCACTACAGTTCAGACAAGAGACAGGCACGACAGGGCCTGAGCTAGGGCCAGAGTCAACTTCATGAGCACGCTACCTGTTCATTGCACTGGGCCAACGTCCAGTGCTTGGTTTAATGTTCTGCAGTCACTGTCTTGAGAACTTTTTTGAACACAGGGTCCTGCTTTTTTTATTTTGCACTGGACCCCACAAAGTATGTGGCCAGTCCTGGTTAGGGCAGTGGGTGTGGGGATAGAGAACAGTGATCAAGACCTGCAGGTTGTTAAGAAGTCAAACAGGACTTATTTAGTGACTCCTTTGATGAAGGGTTGGAAAGAAGGAAGACTAGGATGAATCCCAGTTTTCCAGGTGGGTGGTGGTGCTCTTAATAAGGTAGGGAATGTGGGGAGCGTGACAGGTTTAGGGAAGAATTAAATCATGAAGTCAGTTTTAGACTAGGTTTGAGGTGGTTGTGGACGATGCTAGTATCCCAGCTTCTCTAACCCCAATTTCTTCCAGCACCCCTATCTCTCCCCACATGTGACCCTGACCCTGCCTTTCTGGATATACAGGGCAAGACATCTGCATATACAGTCTCTGCCTGTAATTATTATTATTACTATTACTATTATTATTATTATT